AAAGGTTGATATCATGGGCATTAGTCAGCTGAAGTGTACTGGTTTTGGCCATTTTGAATCAGAAAACCATATGATCTACTATGTCAGGAATGACAAATTGAGGAGGAATAGCATGACATTCATCATCACAAAGAATGTTTCAAGGTCTGTCCTGAAATACAATCCTGTCAGTGACAGAATAATATCCATACGACTACAAGGAAGACTAGTTAATATTACTATTACTCAAATTTATGCATTAACCACCAAAGACAAAGATGAGGAAATTGAAGACTTTTACCAACTTCTGCAGTTTGAAATTGACCAAGCATGCAATCAAGATGTGCTGGTTATCAGTGGTGATTGGAATGCAAAAGTTGGAAACAAAGAAGAATCACTGGTAGTTGGAAAATTTGGCCTTGGTGATGGAAATAATACTGGAGATCTTATGATAGAATTTTGCAAGACCCACAACTTATTCATTGCAAATATCTTTTTTCAACAACATAAACAATAGCTATAAACATGGGTTTCACCAGATAAGGTACACAGGAATCAGATTGACTACATCTGTGGAAAGAGATGATGGAGAAGCTCAATATCTTCAGCCAAAATAAGACCAGGAGATGACTGTGGAACAGACCATCAGTTGCTCTATACAAGTTCAAGTTGAAGCTGAAGACAATTAAAAGAAGTCCCTGAAAGCCAAAATATGGCCTCGATTATATCCCTCTTGAATATAGAGACCATCCAAGGAATAGATTTGATGCATTGAACACCAATGACCGAAAACCAGAGCAATTGTGGGATGACATCAAGAATATAACCCATGAAGAAAGCAAGAGGTCATTAAAAAGGCAAGAAAGGAAGAAGAGACCAAAATGGATGTCAGAAGAGACTCTGAAACTTGCCCATGAGCAGACAGTAATGAAAGCAAATGGAAGAAATGACAAGATAAAAGAGCTGAACAGAAGATTTCAAAGAACACCTTGAGCAGACAAAGCCAATTATTATAATCAAATGTGCAAAGATTTGGAGTTAGAGTTAGAAAACCAAAAGAGAAGAACATGCTAGGCATTTCTTGAGCTGAAAGAACTGAAGAAAAAAATTCAAGTCTCCAGTTGCAATATTGAAAGATTTTATGGGCACAATATTGAGTGATACAGGAAACATAAAAAGATGGAAGGAATACCCAATCACTGTACCAAAAATAACTGGTAGATGTTCAGCCTTTTCAGGAGGTGGCATGTAATCAAGAACCAATAGCACTGAAGGAGGAAGTCGAAGTTGCACTGAAGGAATTGGCAAAGAACAAGGCTCCAGCAATTGACAGCATACCCATTAAGATATTTCAACAAATGGATGCCATGCTGAAGGCACTCACTCACTCAGCTATGCCAAGAGATCTGGAAGACAGCTACCTGGCCAACTGACTAGAAGAAATCCATATTTGTACCCATTCCAAAGAAAGGTGATCCCACAGAATATTGAAATTATCAAACAGTATCATTAATATCTCACACAAGTAAAATCTTACTGAAGATAATTCAAAAATAGTTGTAGCAGTGTATTGACAAAGAACTTCCAGAAATGCAACCTGGATTCAGAAGAAGGCATGGAAAGAGGGATATCATTGCTGATGTCAGAAGGATCTTGGCTGAAAGCAAAGAATACCAGAAAGATGTTTTGCTTGTGTTTTATTGGCTATGCAAAAGCATTCGATTGTGTGGATCATAAAAAAAATATGGATAACATTGAGAAGAATGGGAATTTCAGAACACTTGATTGTGTTCATGAGGAACTTGTATGTAGGTCAGGAGGCTGTCGTTCAAACACAACAGGAGGATACTGCATGGTTTAAAATCAGGAAGAGAGTATGTGAGGGTTGTATCCTTTCACCATTCTTATTCAATTGGTATGCTGAACAAATAATCTGAGAAGCTGGGCTATATGAAAAAGAGCATGGCATCAGGATTGAAAGAAGTCTCATTAACAACCTGCAATAGAGACAACACAACTTTGCTTGGTGAAAGTGAGGATGATTTGAAGCATTTACTGATGAAGATTAAAAACTTCAATCTGCAGTATGAATTACATCTCAACATTAAAAAAATGAAAATCCTCACAATTTGACCAATAAGCAGCATCACAATAGATAGAGAAAAATTGAACTTGTCAAGGACTTCCTATTACTTGGTTCTACAATCAACACCAATGGAAGCAGCAGTCAAGACATCAGATGATGTATTGCACTGGGCAAATCTGCTGGAAAAGGCCTTTATCAAGTGCTAAAGAACAAAAATGTCTCCTTGAAGACTAAGGTGTGCCTTACCCAAGCCATCATACTTTCAATCACCTCACATGTATGTGAGAGCTGGATAACGAACCAGGAAAACCAAAGATGATTTGATGATTTTGAGTTGTGGTGTTGGCAAAGAATATTGAAAGTACCATGGATGCCAAAAGAATGAACAAATCTGTCCTGGACGAAGTACAGCTGGAATGCTCCTTGGAAGCAAGAATGGCCAGACTTCTTCTGACCTACTTTGGTCATGTTGTCAGAAGGGATCATTCCCTGGAGAAGGATATCATGCATGGTAAAATGGAAGATCAGCAAAGAAGGGGAAGGTCCTCAGCTAGATGAATTGACACAGTGGCTTCAATGATAGGGTCAGGTATAGCAAGTATTGTGAGTCTGGTTCAGGACTAGGATATGTTTTGTTCTGTTGTACGTAGGGTCACTATGAGTTGGAGCCAACTCTATGGCACCTAACAGCAACAATAACAAAGCAAAATTGGTGAAAGTCAATTTGTCATTATGGGAGATCAATGGAATTTCACATTGATTTTGGAACAACTAAGTTCACCAATTCATTTTCTTTGTTGTGGAATATGTGGAATGTTCTTTCTGTAGAAATTATGGTATATTGTAAAAAAAAAATCTTAGTATTCTGAATCTACTAAAAATTTTATAATCCATTTTATCTCATTCCACTAAAATACTATATACCACTTTTTCATTCAATTGCTAATAATATACTATACCAAACTGCCGTCGAGTTGAACCCAACTCATAGTAACCCCTCCTTGAGTTTCCGTGGTGGTATCACTAAGGAAGTAGATTCCCCAACCTTCCTTCTGAGGAGTGGCTGGTGAGTTTGCACCACCAACCTTCTGGTTAGCAGTCAAATGCCTTAGGAACTACGCCAACAGAGCTCATTTAGAAGGAAGTTACATCATGGATAGCTAAGACACACACACGCACACACATATAACTCACATATTCTATTTGAATGTGTGAATGAATAAACAGAGAAGGGACACTACAGATTATAAGTGTTTAAGTCCTTCACATGCCTTAACCCAGCTTTGTTCTATAGACCATATACTGAATTTCTATAATGTGACCAATACTCCTTTTGCAGCAAGTTGTGATGCAAAGTATGATGAGCCAAGTTCCTGATATTTAGGACATACAGGTTTGAAGAGAGCAGACATTTAGGACTTTCATAATAAATAATTTCTCAGATAATTTGTATTTTCCCTCTGTGCTGCTAAATCCACCACTGCTATTCCCTAACTCAGTCTAGAGTGAGGGGAGGCACTGATTGTGAACTTCCTTATGCTCTCACTCCCTCAGTCCCACCCCCAGGATTGTTATAAGTCTGTGTTCCTTTTTGCTTACTTTATTTTGACTTAATAAAAGAGATTCAGAATTCTAATATGCTAGGCCATGCTTTTTTATTTTGAGGATGGGGGAGTATTGGGTTTCAGTTCCTGTGTATTATTGCAGTAACAATCTGAGCAGCCATTTCATATTCCCTGGGAGCATATGTGATACATAAATATTTTTTACAATGCATACTTCTGAAGAGTACAACATATAGACCCAGAAGGAAGAGCATTAGCAACAATTCATATATTTGCACAGCCTGCTAGTACAGCTCAGATCAAAAAAAGTAAATTTACACATTTATTTTTATTTTAAATGGTGCATTCACATTTCTAACAGATTTAAAGTAATATTGCCAATTAATTTTTTTAGCAAATTCTAAGACCTGGTTAATTTTATTAATTATTTGAAAGCCTGCAATTTGAATTTGTAACCCAGAGAGGTAAGAGTAGTTTATTCCTCATGCAAAGAAAAAAATAAAAATTAAAAAAA